ATAAAAATTATTATTCTTTTATATAAAAACTTTTAAATCACTCTATGAAAATTATTCCGTAAAAAAAAATATTCGCGAATTTATCCTATAATATTGGCAGAATAAAAAATTAACTTGTATAAAGCCAACGGTTTTTAAAGCAGCACTTTCTAATGCAATCAATTACAATCAATTACATTGTTAAAAATTTCTCATTCATATATGAATATATTTCAAAAATTGCGTACGTCTAAGATGAGCAATGCATGCAATCTTTGAAATTAAACAAAAAATAAATTTAAAGAGGCTTTAACATAATGCTCGAATTAATGGAAATATAAGGTGTTAAAAATTCAAATTTTACTCGAGAGGGAATAACTTGTCAGGAGGTGAAGGTGGGAAAAATCTTCTAACAAAATGAACTATTTATTAGTGTCTAAATTTTTACAGCTTGTTAAAATTTCAGACCTTTACAACCTGTATAATCTAGAAAAAATACAATATTCATTTGGAAAATATGAATTTTAAATAACGGTTTTCGATGCAATAAATAGTTAAAAGAAATGGCAATTTTAGGTCTTTGGGGGCCTATAAATTTTTGAGGGGGAAAATGGGTTGAAATTTTTTTCTACGGAAATAAGTTTCTTGGAAAGATCTATGTACATATAAAATTTCGGCTTTCTATCTTCAATGGTGTAGAAAACTGACCGACGGACGGACTGATAGGGTGAAACTAACAAGTATTTTTTTTTTTTTAAATTTTTTTTGGAAAAATTCTAAAAGGCACTTGTATAGGGCGACTACACAATAGTAAATTGCGAACATTTGTGCAGAGGTTCTTTTTCTATTCTTTTAATTTATTTTCACTATTTTGATTTTTATTGAATTTTTTTTTTGTTATGTGCATTTGACCGTAGGGGGCTTAGGTTCAATTTTAAGTACTCAAATCATTTATTATTTTCTTTATAGATTTGTTTTTGTTTTGTATTTTTTTTGATTTGGTTTTTCTTCTACTATTTTAAACAAAAACTGAAATAATTTTGATGGGCATTAATAAAATTACAAATTATAAAAATAGAAAACTTTTTTTTTTTTATTAAAGAATTAAGAATTGAGAGAATGGTGGAAACTTCCGTTTTAATTTTACTTTGAAATTTTTTTGCTTTTTTCAATATAGTAGTTAGGTAGGTAGTTACATTATTAATTGGAAGAAATGAATATGGCAATGAAAAAGTTATTAGTTTAAACACAAGAATGATAAAAGAAAAAATATAGATGAATCATTTTAGCTGTAGGATATAGGAAGAAGAAAGAAAATTTTATATATATATAGAAAATAAACAGTAAATACAGGATGTTTTAAAGGAGAGCATATTTAGATGCGATGGTTTGTGATTTTTTTTTTATTGCTGATTCAATATGTATATAATAACATATTTAAATCATACATATACAATTGATGTATATAGTAAATATTGTAAAAATATAGATTAAAATTGAAAGAATAAAGTAATTTAGAATTGATGAACAATGTACCGAAATAAAATGATGAACCAGTTGATTATACTTATTGATAAATATATTATCGTTGGTAAAAGTGCTTTTCATTATTAATAAGGAAATTACAAATAAAAACTAATAAATATTATTAGCAAAAATTGGATATTTTACAATGTCATTGTTTCTTTTCTCTTCTGTTCTGTTCCAGCAAAAAAATTCCAATTAAATGTGTAATACTCTTTAAAGTACAAAACTTTAGTTTTCAGTATTTCAAAATCTTACAAGCTTTATATACTAAAATATTTTTTTTTTCTTATTTTAATAAAATGTCAAATATTAATTTAATTAATTCAATTCTATATTATGAACTTTTGAAAAAATTAATTAAATATTCACGTGGTTTTAATGTCATTATAATAAGAAAACAATAATTGTTATAAATGTGTGAACTTTGATTGATTGATGTCAGAATATCAATATGCAATGAAATTAAAAAAAAAAAATTTAGATCAATATAACGATAATGCACGATTTAATTATAATATCGATCATTAAAATACATATATTACCTGCAGTATAAAGTTTTGATTTTATAACAGATTTAATTGATTGATTTAATAATTTTAATTAAATATTTCATTAAATAAAGCTATAAAATTCAAAATTAAAGCTATAAGTACAACACAGAACAATAAGTGATATTATTCGAAAAAATAAAAATGTGTCCGAAACCATTTGACACGAGAACGAAATGAAGTTAATTTTAGTCGATAATAGATTAGACTCGATAATATGACACTTTTGTAAATAATTTTGATTGTTAAGTGCAACTTTATGAAAACATTTTTTCCACAATTTTTAAGGCTCATCTAGTTTTTCTGATTATAATTATTGAAAGAATATCAATATTCGTTCAAAAAATTTTTCTGATTTTATTCACATAAGTATGCATTTGAATAAGTAATATATTTAGTCAGTATTACATTTAGTAAGTATTTAGTAATAATAGAATTATAGGAACTTACAATAGAATATGAAAAATTCTAAGTTTTAAAACAATTTAGTTTTTACATTTTTTCATAATTGACCCCCCCAAATTTCAAAACTTGTGCTTATAATTTGAAAATATTACGATTTAATTAATAATCAATCAATTTAAATTCAATTTTTTATATTATTGTTATATAGATTATTGTAGTTGTAATACTAAATAAATGCAATATAAAAAACTGCAATACGGAATAACTGAGGGTGTAGTTGTAATACTACATCAACAATATATAATTTTTACAGAATAAATAGAATGAATTTTTTCATCTTTTGCAAAAATTGAGCTGCAAACATAGCAATTTTTACATAGATTTTATAGACATACACCAGTATTGTACAGCTTAAGTTCAATATATTTAGTCTATAATTGGATATGACAATTATTGTAGAGCAAAATTATTAACAAGTTAAAAAATTGTTGCTGGTATACCTTAATTACATTATATGCATATATACTGATATATACAGTAATAGCCGTGTTCTACATGCATACACACATATCATATGCATATACAAATATAATGTATTTTTATTTTTTATACATTAATTCATATAACACGAGTACGTAATTATTTTTAATATTTTATTTTTATTTGACATTTTTTTTGCTAACTCAATGTTTATCATACAGCGCAATACTTCGTACATCTAATTGTGACTATGCTGTCATAAAATGTTTTTTACCGATGTAATTTTACATAACTAATAAATACACATATGTACTTTAAATAATTAACTATATTAAAAAATTATCATTTAAAATTAATATTTAATTGAAATTTATTTTGTTTTATGAACAGTATTAATTTTTGTATTGGCAAGAGAATTCTACTAAAGAGTTTATGTTAGAATTTTAGTAAAAAAATTTTTCCAGTATGTTATGGTAATTTTATATTTTAATATACATTTGTAGTTCACAAGAGTTCAAATAATATATTTTCTGTTATATTTTAATTAAAATATTAAAGTAATTATTTTATAACGCATACTCGTGCACTTTGAGTACGAAGTTTAAAAAAACATAATTTAAGCAACTGTTATAAAATACATGTACATACAAGATTTTTTTAAATTTTTGTATTTATGCACAATGTATTTGCATTTCATGGGTATTAGCTTGAAATCAAAAATTGATTTTGAAAATACTACAGTAGCTTGACAACAATAAGGTTATAAGCTAACAATTTAAATTTAAGTTTAATCAAAATTAAATGAGTTCCATTGACAGATTTTTATCATATTGTGTTTGTGAATTTATTAGGATACGAAAGCAAAAAATCTCTCCTAAATTACAAAGTGAATTCCCTTCTTTTGCTCCGAATATCAGCTGATTTCGAACGGCAAATCGCCTTCAAAACCGAAATATTTTAAACGTAACTTTACACTAAATAAATTTTACGAGTTTTCAACCATTAAACGAGTTTTAATTAATTATAAAGAATTAGTTTGAATACTATTTCTATTTAAAATCTTTGTTCTTTATGTGATTACTATTGTATCAAATATAATGTTTTATGCATGCACGTAAACAATCTTTTCTTTTTTATGAAAAATCTTACGATATGATTTATTCAAAGTAATAACATAATGAAACCCTTTAAAAAATTTTAAATTCAGAAAATTGTTTAAGCATCTTTACAAAATTTATTGCAAAAAATTTTAATAAAAGTCTACGAGTATTAAATATAATTTTCATTTCATATAATATAAAAGAACCATATATCAAAATAGGTGATTATGTACTATATAAAGCAATTTGCATGAATATTCACCTTCAAGGTATAGACACACGATAGAACGATTTTATAGTAAATATAGTATGTAATAGATAATTTTTGTTATTATTATTAGAACAAATTTCTCTTTTCTGACATTAATTTATTTGTTATTTTGCTTCCTCTTAAATAATTTCTAGCACACGCGAAAAAAATTTATAAATTAAAGAAAATTTCCTTTCTTCCTGCTATATTAAATAGAGAATGGGGGAAAACTGTTTGAAAAGAAATGATCAATTTATGAATTTAATTCATAAAAATTTAATTTTTATTTATTTAAGTAATAATTTCAATTAAATTTTTAGTTCGTTTTCTTATTTGTACTGCCAAAATGTAAAATGTAGATTACAATGTTGAAAACACATATAGAATATTAAAATTACAAATTAAATGTTCCTTGAAAATATTGAAAGGAGAATGTGAAGAATTTGAGAAAAATTTTATAAAATATTTTACATTTTACTAAAATTTAAATTTCTTCAAGAGCAACGATATCCCATACATTTTTAAGTCGATTAGAAATTAAGAAAATTCGAAATTATACACACAATTTAAAAACATCGAAAAATTTGGGGGAATGTTAACCAAGTTATTATTATATATATATAATTTAATAAATCGTATGTCATAAAAAAAAATTTTTTTCAAAAATATTGAAATTAAAAATTTAATCGAAATTATTAAAAAATTACTAACCTTAGCTGAACTTTCCAATGGATTCCAATAAATTGCAATAGCATTATGTGCTACTTCTTCTATACAACCAACTAAACCAACGGAATTTTTTGTATCTGTAATATTAAAATTAAAAATTATATTATTTTTTTAATGTTTTTTTTAGAATAATGGGGAAAAAAATGAAATAATATTAAAGTTTATATAATTTTAATTAATTAACATTGCTAAATGAATAGCTATTACAATTAAATATTGTAAAAAATTTTATTAGAATTTTAATACAACTAATATATTTTTTATAATTTTAGAACATTCAATATAAGTAGTTAAAACAATAAATAAAATATTGTTTTTACGATAATAAACTTTTATCATGACCTATTTCCATTTATAAAAAATTACTATTAAAGTTTATAATATTCAGCAATAATTATTTTTTTTTTGAAATCATGTGTAGTTTAAAAATATTAAAGAGTTATTTTCTTTAAGAATTACAATTAAGAATAAAACATAAAAATGTTTCATAGTACTTCATTTTAAAAGCATGAAAATTGTAAAACTAATCCAATACTAAAATGAGTTATGTTGAGTATGACTTCGGAATTAATAGCGATTCACGATAATAATATGTAGGGGGGATAGACTTATTCTAACTTGTTCAAAATGATTCCACTTACGTATAGTTACAACTTCTTTCTTTATATAGGAATTACGTAAAAAGGGGGAGTAAAGACGGCGAGTATTATTGTTCTAAAAGCAAATTTTTATCAAATAGAATATTGACCGTAAAACTTTAGCAAATTAAATGTCTCCCTCCGTGTCAATAAATTGTGTTGCAAAGTAAATTTGTTCATATTCATAACCGAACTAATTCTAATGACTTCAATAACATATCTCATTTCAATTTGAAATAATTAAGTAACTTTAGTTGGCTAATCCACCTTAAATAAATCATGTCAGAGAGCTAATAATTTTAACCTATTTCTGTCATATTTTACAATTTATCAATAATTTAAATTTTTAATTTATATATAAAGAAACTACTCCACATTCTTTATATTTTATTCGTCTATAATTTAGAATAAAAAGTATATTTTATTATAAACATAAATACTTTATTGTTTTATAAGAAAAATATAGTTAAATAAAAAAAACTCATTTAATAATAGAATTAGTTTACACCTGCTTCATTAATCAAAACTATTTAATTATATTGTTGTTTCATATATGAAGTTTATATTTTAACTATTTTGAAATTATTATTTTGCATGATTGTATATCATTGCATATACACACATATATAATAATCGTATATACTACATTTATTTTATATAACAAGCAAATTAAAATTTTAATTAAAAGAATTAAATTGGATTTTAATTAAATAAGAGAAAAAATTTTTTATAACAATAAAAACAAGAGTTATAATTTAAAAATATAAAATATATATGAAATTCTATTAAAATCAGTATAATTAATTTATTATAATATTGTACTTGAATTAAAAGTCATAGTTATTAAATTTTAAATAAAATTGAAAAAATATAGTATACATTGGGATTTTGAAAATTAAAAAAATTTGAATTACTTTTAATGTGTGTAAGTATATAAATATGTGTATATTGCACGATATTATGTGTGGATGTATAATTTTTTTATTTTATTTTTATTTTCGCTTTTAATTTTTTTTATTATTTCGTACGTGGTTGTTGTAATAGTATAATTGAATTAATAATTAAATTTTAATAACAATATCTAAGTAAATTTGCTACGCTTGTAACATTTTGTTTCTTTGATTAACAGAACATTTTCGGCAGTTTTAGAAAATATTAAACAACTGTTATTCGAGAGTAAATTAGCGAAATTACGCTTGTTTTAATTATTTCGGAACAGTAAAAGTAAAAATTTAATATCTGATTTAAGAAAATTTTAAATTTAAGTTGAAAGTGGACTAAATTCATAAATTGACCTTACAGAAAAAAATTGTTTAAAACTGTAAAACCAGTTCTGGAGTACTCGATATATTTATTTCGAAATATTTTCTTCAAAATATGTTTCATTAACTCATGCTTACATACATCATAACGAATGATCTACACAATATTAACTATCGTTGACAATAACTACCTCAGTACAAATTTGCCTTAAAATTTATTTTTTTTAATCTTGTCAAAATAGCTTGCATTCTTTAATAATAAATTTTTAATTACAGTAATATTTTTCATGCACGTAATTTAAAATTTCATTTAAATATTTTTTTATAAATATTAAAAATATCAAATTATTTTCGATTAAATTAATCCAAATTTTTTCATTTGTAATCTCAGAAAATGTGTGAGCAAGAAAGGTAAAAATTCAAAAATATTAATTTAAATTAAATCATTCATAGAAACTCCCATTGGTATGCAATTTTAATATTTTTACGGTATAAGATGGGTTATCGGTTATCGAAGACAAAACAACCACATTTTCTATATATAAACTGATAACTGACATTAGAATAATAATAACTGTACTATAATACCATTCCTGATTAGGAAAATTTTTGGAGCTTACAAACGTGTCCAATTTAAGAATCATCCAAAAATAACTTACGAAAAAAAAACAAACTTAAAGTTTTTGCAAAATCACTTATTTTAATCAATTTTTTTTTTCAATTACAAAATAAAATTAATATTCAATTGATCATTAACATTAAAAAATAACAAAAACAAAAACAAAACACAATTCTAATGTTATTATTTTTGTTTTGACTTTTTAGCGTTTGATTTTCGAATCGCAAATACTTGAAACAAAATTGATTTTTTTTTTCTTTTATTGCCGCGTGTTGTTATTTTTTTCAGTTTTGTATTTTTTATTTGACTTAAAATGTTTTCGTCTATTATCAATCATTTTGATATATGATTTTTAATTACTCATTTGATTTTAGTATAAATAAATAAATTGAAATTATTTAAATCAGAAAAATAATTGATATTCAATTTAATTCGCGATATTTTAGTTTTAAATTATTTACTTTTATTTTTTATTTATAAGGTATATAACAGATGCATTTATAAAAAAATTTAAAAATTAATTCTTATTCATTTGAAAATAAAATAATAATGCAAAAGTATATTTGCACCCTCGAAAATAGATGCGCCTAATCGATTAATGATTTGTTTGAAATAAAAAGAATATTTTTAGAATTAGAACGTAAGAGAAAATCAACCAACCAACACCAATGACACCAAATGGTACAATTAGAGAAGAGAAAAATTTTAATTTCCTTAATTTAATTATTTTTCGTTCTCGTATCTTCTCACATTGTAATTTATTAAATTTCGAGCAATGCAATCGAATATAATTGACATTTCCGTCTGATCTCATACGGATTTCAAAATATTATCAAAAGATTCTATTATTTTGTTATATTTCCAGTTATGCATTTTCGAAATTCTGCATAAAACCTCCTAATAAAAAAATAATTTAATTAAAAACGAAATATGTATGTATATGAGTTTGAAAGACCTTATAACTTTTACATAAATACAATATGTATAAGCAGTGGCTTGCATTTACGGGTGCTGCATAAATCTTTTTAATATAAAAATTATGCTGGCAAAAAATTTTTTTACTATTTAAAATGTAAAAAAAAAAGATATTCAAAAAATTGACTTTAATGTGTGCCATTGGAAATTTATTCAAGCATAATATGCTTACAACAACTGACGGTTTCATTATATGCATATATACAACACATGCATAATTATATATAAATGTGTAAGCATTCACATATGGGTATATTCGCATTCATATTACCTACTATAAAATGAATATTCAATAATATAGTAATTAAAAAGTGAGCGTTCAGTTTTTATTCTTAAATTTATTGGTAAAACAAAATATAATCAGGTGTTTTTATTTACTCTAAGTATTAATATTTATTTGAAAATTAAAACAAAAAAGTCACACGCTAATCAAATGTTAAGTGTTACTGTCACATATCCAATTTAAATTGATTTAAGAGTTATAATTACTATTATATATAAAAAAAGTAATATTTTCCAAAAATATAATTGATAGCGTTTATTAATGAACATTTTAGCAAAGACTGGATAAATTCAATGCATATTTCAAAGATTACTATAGTCGAAGACTTGTTTAAGGGTTATAGGTTTTAAAATTTTTAAAAATTTTCTGAATTTACGATGTGAAATTATAGTAAAAACAGAATTAATATTGTAGAAATTTTTAAATGATTTTAAAATTTTAAATAAATTTCAAAACTGATTCCATAAATTGACCAATTAATCAGTCAACTAATGTAACAACATCAATGTATGAATTTTCAAAGACTTAGTTAAATTCAACTATGTCTAAAATACAATGCTACATTATGTGCAAGTACCGAAAGTATCCATCTACTTATTCATACATTTGATACAATATAATCATACATACAATTTATAAGTATAAAACACCTCTTATTTCATCTTCTCTCGAAAGATTAAAGTTAAGAATGTATTAATCTTAATCATTTATATTAATATAATATAAAAGAGCCATATAAATATTTTTAAAGAATTTTACTCAAATATTTTCATATCACAACTAGCATACTTGAATAGTATATTAAAAATCAAACACAAAAATAATATGAAAGAACGCTTCTGCAATACAACAAAGGTATCTTAGACTCTATGATTTTATTCAACCTGATGTTGAAAATGTTGAAATATAAAATAAAAAAAATTGTGTTTAATACTCTGGGTCTTTAATTAGTTAAAATTAAAAGTAAAATAAAATTGAAATATGAATTCGGGCATTCCATTTTTTTGGAAACAATTGGTCAAATACTATAATTTATACAATTGATTGTAGATTATTTTTCAAACTCATTAAAAGTATTTATTAAATTTAAAGCCAGCCACTGCTTTGTTTAAATGGTGCTTTTAAAATTCATGCATAATAGCTTCATTGACACTATATTGAAATATCGCCCTGTATTATGGAGGCAAACAAATAATGCAAAAGAGCGAACATTTTTTTTCATAAAAATTAATTTAAATTTTAAGATTAGTGGAGCTTGGAGCATTATTAAAGGCTCTCCCAAACAAGCAGAATGGAATGT